ATGCTGGACGCACCGCAAGCACGAAATTATTTGATTTGCTATATCCAAATAGGGCAAACTAAAAACCGTTGCGAGCAATACGTGCGTTGCGTCCGGCCAATGGACGCGTACCTTTAGTCTACAATATGGATTACGGCATAAATTTATCTTCGCAGAATCTGGACGAAGTACACATAGCGTTGGAAGTGTGTACGGAGCCACGCGTCATGAACCCTGGTGCGGCAGGCGCTATGCCTGTACCGGGTAAATACAGCTATATACATAAGGTAAGACGTTATGTACTTTTAGGTAAAAAAAACATATAGAATTATTTTCGAGATAAAAAATATTGCACAAGGAATCCAATAAGTCAATAAAAACACGAATCAAGGTCGACTTTGCAAATTTAAGTATCGTTAAACAAATGATAATAGATTCATTAGTTTGTACAATTTAGCACCTTATTACCTTCAGGTTATAGACGGTATTTCAGTGGCTGTTAATCAAGTACAAGTTGACTTCAATTGCGATGCCTTTACCAGCAGTGTTCAGGTGAGAATTATAATATATATTACATATTAATAAAATTTAAGTGTCTGTGTGTACAACTAGAACGTCGATGGCTCAGTGGTCAAGCACTTGACTTGCAATCTGCAGGTCCTGGGTTCGAATCCCGCCATGTACCAATGTGTTTTTCGATTTCCGATTTACATATGTACATTTATCCGACGTTCTTACGGTAAAGGAAAACATCGTGATGCTGCACATATCTGAGAAGAAATTCAAAGATATACGTGAAGTCAACCAACCCGCACTTGGCCAGCGTGGTTGACTATGGCCTAATCACCCTTAACTTAGAGTAGGCTCCGGGCCCCTCGGTGGGGACGTATAGTGAGCTGATGATGATGGTGTAAAACTGAAAAAAAATCGTACACTTGGTGTATTTGCGTAGCTGACAAGGAAATATTAATTTTAAATTTTCTTGTCTCTATGTCGGTCTGCAAGGTAGCGTTTGTTCCGGGTAATCTCCGGCTGTACTGATTTTGACGTGTCTTGAACGGGAAGTTAGCTGGATGCATGCATGTTATACATAATTTTTTTTTAATTCTGCCGTTGACTAAGTTTCTGGCGACCTTTATAAAATAATAATTACAGAATAAAATTGTTAAGTTTAATTTTATTATTATAATTTATTTTAAGCAGCAAGTTTGTGTTTAGTTTCATTTCTTTGAAAGTAACCTTAATTATTTTAAACAAGGGATCACGAACCACTAGGTAACGAACTAAAACGGGTAAGCAGTTACGTGAGCTGAAGCCACAAAAGTGCGACAACAAATGACTTCTCCACATTTACAGTTAAAGAAATAAATTCCCTTCCCACTCAGAATTAAATATCTTACGACAAACAGTTACCTTAAGAGTTATAAGCACCAATATAGACCGATTAGAATATCTGACCTGATGGGCAAAAGATAAACCAAATTTTAATACCTCACTAGCGCCACTCTGTCAATTTGAAAGTGTCATAATATCCTTTTCGTATTTTAGCTGTAATGTCATCTTTTTTCTTTTATGCCAGTACCTATGACCATGTAGGTTTTATATTTTTCTGACATAACTAACCTGGAAAACAGTGTCTCACCGGGCTAGAGTACCTTGTTTCACTATAAATAGATGCATTAAAATAACATTTGACTTAAGTGGGTAGGGAATAAACGTCCTTGGCTATAGCTTTTTTAGTTGACTCGTAATATTTGTTTTAGATCTCTAGAGTAACAGTAGAGTCCCGCACACCTGAAGGTAGGAAGGGAGATCTCAGACTGACGAGAATCAAGTCTCCCGATACTGGACAACTTTTGATATTCAAGGTGAGTCCAGCCTTCAAACTTTTATTTACTTCAATAAGTATATTATGTATTTCGAAAGGAATTTGACTTATATATACCTACTAAGATTTCAATAACAAAGAAACACAAGATTATTTTTTTTTAATATTATACATTAGTTTTACAATCTTTTAAACTTAGTGATAGTAAATTTTGAAATCGTCAGTTTTTTCTCGTGGTTTCGTAGGAATTGGAATGGCAGAGCGCAAGAATAGAGGCGAAAGCGTACGGCGATGCGGCAGCTAACCTGCCACCTCTCCGCCTGTTGCTAGGCAACACGCACTGCAGGATTGTTATCAAGAAACGACTCTCCGGTAAGTACACGTGAACAATAACATGATACTGTCGTACACACTTCATATTTTTATACAGTACAAAGAAGATTGTCGTCGATGTTTCTTTGTCTATGGGGATAGGACTTAGCAACGGATATCCCGGATCCGATTGGCACTAGAAGCTAGCGTATGCGGGTTTTATTGGGTAAAACCCCACATAACTCCCCGTTCCTCTTCCCTCTAGGAATAGAGTATCGTTTTTAAGTCCACCTCCCGAATAAAAAGTGGGGGATACGAGTTGTAGTCATGTGTTAGTCTACGTATGCAGACTGTGCGGTGACTGGTTCCCGGCTCGTGGTACGTCCGGAGCCGCTGGCGTGGGCGCTGACAGACGGTCAGCTGCGCGCCGCGCTCGCCTGCGCCGCCGCACTGGCCGGACCGGTGCGCCGCGCAACTCGCGCAGCCACACGAGCTGCCGCCGCACGCAAGGTAGCCTCGCGTTAACACTTATACACATCCTTAGGGCATTTAAGACACTGGTCTTTATAAATGCTTAGTTACGATAAAATGCTACGTCTTATAGTCAGTCCTTTTATAGAGTTCAGTTTTGGTGATTCCTGTGCCGAAATACTTTCTACATTTTATTGTTATACCTCTCTTTTCGAACAGAATGAAAGGGATGGTCAAATTTTCTATTTAGGTATTTCAATAGTCAAAACCTACTGTTGTGTGTGGCCAGACTTAATAAATAGGTGATTTAAAAAAAAACATTGCTATTGTTTATTGATTTATTAAGTAGTTTTCTAATCATAAAGTAAATGGGCTATCTTTTTAGATATGAAAATAAAAATACGCGAAAAATTATGACCTTTATACTAGTATACTATACATCTTCTTTCAGATCGAAGAGCCCCGCGAACAGATCCAAAGTCGGGCGAGTACAGGCGAGCGGGATTTGCTCGCGCGCATGTTCGCCAAGCATGACGTGCGTGAGACCTCGTACCACCTGCTCGCGCCCAGGATTGACCTGCATCTCTGTGATGACCCTGGATGTAAGTGATAACATAGATGTAAAACTACATGATTTTTTGCGAAAAGTGATTATTCTAGTGTGTTTTTAAAAGCAAAAATTTTAATAAGAAAAGAATAGGTTGGGACACTAAAATTCGCAGAAATAACGAAGCCATTACTGCCCATAGACATAGCAATTACAGATGCGTTACCTACCTTAAAGCGATGGAAAATGGGGTACACATAAAGAGAATATTTCCCCTTCTTAGACGTCACCCCACTCCGTCAAATCCACTCGTGGGTGACAAGGGAAAGAGGGGTAAAATGAGGTCTTCAGCACACACCCATCAGACCACATGGGATTACTTCCATTTGACTCCTGTCTTCTGTGTGTTACTGAAACAGATATTGCAGAACCAATGTTATGTTGTTAAACGAGTGTTTCAACAGTGGAAACCCTTATTTATCCTTTGTTGTATTTCAGTGGGTCGTTCAGAGATGCCGTCTCTGGGTAAAGGTGGTGCGCTGCAGGTGACACTGGTGAGCATGCAGGCAGATCTCTTCCCCTATCACAAGGCTTCTGATGATAGGCGACATTGGAGAGGATATAGGTGAATATCTTGCATTTTATGTATCAACTAGCTGTCTCCCTCGACTCCGTCCGTTCTCAGACCTACTGATATGTATATGAAATTTAATAAATCGGTCTAGCCGTTTTGTAAATAGTCGAGATATCCAGATATTTCCGTAACATGAAAATTGGTGATTCATTGAAGCTTTGATTTTTATGTTTCGCATTCATCTTTATCATAGACTAGCTAAGACTCCGTCCGCTAAATTTAAAGAAAAACTTAATTAGTAACCTATGTGTTCCTCCAGATTATGTTCTACATCTATGTTAAATTTCAGCAAGATCCATGCAGACGTTCTAGAGATACTTTCTAACATCCATCTAAACATTCGCATTTATAATATTAGTAAGATTTCTATTTAATACATGTCATTTTTGTTGTTCTGTGCACAATGACAGATGTAAATGTTGTCATGTTCCACATTTGACGGTGACATTTGACAGTGACATATGACAGTGACATGTGACATTGCAGGGAGGCGGCCACACCACACAGCCAGTGGCTATCACAAGCTTTGTCGACCTTCTGCACGTCACTGCTGGACACATTAGACCCTAGACCCCTAACACCCAGTAATAAGGTATATAGGCACTAGAACACTCTTCCAATTATTGCACAAAATTTTTTTTGGCAATTCATTAATAGCAATTACTATTATTTCCATGCTTAGTTGTTGTTGTTTTAAAAAAGCCATATTCTACTTAAAAATACAATAAAAACTTGTTTTCTTTTATAAACTAGCTGTCGCCCGCGACTTCGTTCGCGTGGATATATAAAAAAACTTAATTAGTGTAGCCAATGTGTTCTTTCAGACTATGTTCTATACGTATGACAAATTTAATCGAGATCCGTTCAGCCGTTCTAGAGATATCTTCAAACACCCATCCATCCATCCACATCACATCCATCTAAACATTCGCATTTATAATATTAGTAAGTTAAATAAAAACCACCTCTTCAAGGCATACATTCCAAAAAAATGAATAATTAGTATCCTATGTCCGTCTCCTGGCTCTAAGCTACCTCCTTACCAATTTTCAGGCATATCGGTAAAGCCGTTCTTGAGTTATAAATAGTGTAACTAACACGACTTTCTTTTAAATATATAGATATAGCAACACTGTATATTTTTGTAAATGGCAACAGTAAAAATGTTTTATTTTAGCAACAAAGTCATCAAGAGAAGACTGAAGCTCCGGTATCTAATGGACTTAACCACAAGACAACCGCAACTTCACCGCAGGCTGCACACAATCCGTCCACTAATGTTACCTCGCAAGGTAAATACCTTCGGCTTATTCATCATCATCAGTATCACTATACGCCCCCAATGAGGGGCTCGGAGCCTACCCTAAGTCAGGGGTGATTAGGCCATAGTAAACCATAGCCCAGTGCGGGTTGACTTCACACAGATCTTTTGAATTTCTTCTCAGATATATGCAGCATCACAATGTTTTCCTTCACCGTAAGAACATCGGATAAATGTACATATGTAAATCGAAAATAGAAAACACATTGGTACATGGCAGGATTCGAACCCAGGACCTGCAGATTGCAAGTAAAGTTGCCTAAAATATTCTTTGAAATTCGAAACCCTTATGTTCATTTTTAGATATCCTTCCGGTGAAGGAAAACATCGTGATGCTGCACATATCTGAAGAAGAAATTCAAAGATATGTGTGAAGTCAACCCGCACTGAGCTATGGTTGACTATGACCTAGTCTCTAACTTAGTGTAGGCTCTGAGACCCTCATTGGAGACGTATAGTGAGCTGATGATGAATCAATGTATTCCAATTGCAATCTTTGGTCAAACAATTTTCATAACAAGTGTAAATTTTCCAGCCTCTCCGACTCGTACTAGAATACTGCAGCAACTCAGCAAGCTGATGACGACCTGCCTCGTACTGAGGATAGACGACTTCACTGTTAATAAGGTAATCTTACTAATATTATAAATGTGAATTTTTAGATGGATGGATGTTTCTCATCTCATAAGCATAAATGTAGAATATAGATTGGAAGAACACATAGGCTACTAATAAAGTTTTTTTTCTGATCGCACGCGGACGGAGTTGCGTGTAACAGCTAGTACGTTTTATAAACGTAAAAAAATGTTACCAGCCTTAAAAAACAGGTTCGATCAAAAAATAACCTAAAAATCGTTTTTTTTTTGACATTTAATTATTTTTAATTTTTTTTAAATGCTTTGTTATATTTACTTGGTTTTATTGAGACGTCATCTTTTATTTTTTTTAAGGTATCAACAGGATCAAAATCCCGAGAGACACCGCGCCCCCTCGTGAGTGCGGAGAAAGCGACGCTCCCCGGAGACGCGGGCTTGCTGCATGCTGAACTGACCTTCTTCTATTACCCTGGCGATGTATGCTTCCCTGGTAGGGTTAGATATCCAAACATACTTACCGTGAGTTTCTAAGACCAACATTTCTGCATAAAATATATCGTCAACCCTATCATTAACAATATGTTTTAAATTGAAATTTGGTCTCAGAAACCTACAGTTAATGACTTCGGGTCAAATACTTTCCTTACTAATTTTCTAATATTTGATACAAAATTAGCAGTAATACTATTAATTTTGATTATTTGTTCAATAATCACGCTCAAATAAGTATGTTCACAATAACTGGTATATAAAGTCGATAACCGTCACTAAGGGCAACCCTGACTGTAGATTAATCACAAGATCTACAAGCAAAAGTGTTTAAGTAACCAATAAAAGAATTGAAGGCATCAGCGTGTCTTAAAAATAAATTGCTAATTTCAAAGTGACTTATTTCTTTAATAAATCCGGCTTTAGTCCTTTGAGTCGGATTTTTATCCGACTCGAAGGACTAAAATACATTTTGAATGTAATTACAGTACCTGCTCCGAAGTTATACGTGCAGCTGAGTCCAGTACGCGTGTCAGTGGATGTGCCGAGCGTGGTGTGGCTCTCAGCGTTCTTGCCGCACGTGGCCCGAGCAGTCGCCACTGCGGCTGCAGCAGATGACCAGGCCAGCTACATTGATGTACGCACAGAGGCTATTATGCCTAAGGTTAGTTATTTACCTAAATTAATTTGATGTAGAATAGCTGTCGCCAGCAATTCTGTTCGCGCGAAATAAAAAAAAACTGACGCTATGATGCCTATGCCAAATTTCAGTGTGATTCATGCTGCATCTGAAGATACCTTCTAACAAACATCTAGCCGTCCAATATAATGTAAATATGCAAAAAACTAACCTAACCTTCGTTTTTGTGATATGTTACTATGTTTCGACTTCCGGGACACTTTTTATCTACATATATTGGCATCTCTTTCATTGTCTTTGAATAAACAGAGACAACAATATGTGACCATACAAATGTCATTTCAGTGGAATTTCACTGCTGTAAGATTATATTATATTTGAACAAATGTAATATTGAGTAATTGTTCCAGTTAGTGCTGGAGGCGGGTCCGGAGCACGTGTCGCAGCAGAGGGACCGACCCAAGGAGTTGCATATCTGTACCGCACGAGCCACATTCACTAATGTCCGGGAATCGCCTAGATCTAGTAAGTAAACTACTAAACTTTAGTAGTTCTAGTTTATGGCCCATGGGGAAGGCCCTGACTAAGGTAGGGGGACCTTAGGGGCTGTTTTACAGTTTTTTTCAGTTATTTGTTACCAAACTTTCAGATACGGCAGGCACTCGTGCAGACCTCGCGTCCATAATATCGTGTGTGCGTCGTGCGGCGCCACGTGGGGGAGAGTTCCCCTGCTCACCGGACGACCTTGACCCCATACATGAGCAGTTCTTGCTGCATGCTGATAGTATGAAGTATTTATTACTTTATTAGTGATTAGCTGTCGCCCGCGATTCCGTTCGCGTGGAATTAAAAACGAACATAATAAGTAGCCTATGTGTTCTTCTAGGTTATGTTCTATATGTATGTCAAATTTCATCGAGATCCGTTCAGTCGTTCTGAAGATATCTTAAAACAAACATCGATCCCTCTATCTAACCATTCGTATCTATAATATTAGTAAGATTAAGGGGCCACTTGCTCGTGGCAAAAGTAACTACAACGGGTCCACATAAAAAAAAATCAAGGTTGCAACTACATTCTCTATCCTCTCTTTCTTCTCTTCTTTTTCCACTAACCATGGGTGAATGATAAGTTTTAAGCGGGGATTTTGGTCTCAAAAACACACAGTTAATATTTGTGATACGTTAAAATTAAATCACAGAACGCTTTGTTATGTTTTGTTTCATTTTTAAACTTGTTTATAGATTTGGACGACATAGACCGGGGTAGTGCTATCTCCCCGGAGCTGCTGTGGCGCGAGAGCAGGTCGGTGTGGTGCGCACGCGTAGAGCCGTTGTGGGCGGATTTCTGCGGCGCACGCGCAACTAACTACAAACCTGCGCCGCTGCTTGATGCCACGCCCCTCACTGCTTGGGTACGCCCACTGTTCATTTAACTACCGCCTCACTAATAGTTTTTTTTATTTATATGTATATACAAGCTTTAAGATATGCCTTGCTATTTGGTTAAGCATCAACTACTTTGTCTCCTTTTCTTTAAATGTTAAATTTTCTTCCATCAGCTGTATTTCGAGGAGGGTTTCTCCCGTATCTGGGTGATCGGTCGCACATGTGGACTAGCGGGGCTGCAGCTCAACCACTACCAGCTACTATTCCTGCTGCGTACACTCGAGCGCGTCGCTGAGATGATGGCGTGGCTCGCGCATGATGCCGCGAGACAACCTGATGGAGATGATGGGTGAGGAACAATTTGACGGATGATAAATGACGTAAAGTATGACAAATGACACACGAGATGTAAGATGTACAAAATGACAGATGACACATGAGATGGCAAGTCGATTTCAGTTTTAAAACTACTCTTTTCCTGGCTTCAGGAATTCGAAATAGATGAAATAATTATTTACCCTACCCTTAAAATGATTTATACAATGTTTGTTTCGTAGGTCAATAGTAGCAGGAATCGTTGTCCCTGCGGTGGAGTTGACACTGGTGCTGCCGTCCAACTGCCCCGGCCAGGAGTCCTCCAGGGACCTCGACAGCGTGCCCCTCGACTCTTCCAGTCTACAAGACCTTAAATTGGGTAAATAGTCGCATTCTTACCATTATTTACTATAAGCAATGGTAATGTGTGTTTGTCTTTCTCACTCTCTCTCTCATGCACACACAAACACACGCACAACCACACAAATTGTGTAACTTTACATTACTGTTGTAACAGTCATGTATTTTATGTACTTTCAGGTTCGGAGGCGACAATGGCGCCCTCTATGCAGGACCGTGACAGTGCTGTGCTGTCGCTGCCCGCTCCAATAGAGGTTTGTAGTGCGCAGCCTCTACCTGCTGAAGAAGTACCGCCCAGTCCAGGGATCGGCTTTGGAGGTAATAATGAAGAAATATACAAAAACTTATCGCCATCTCGCTCATTCTTTTTAAAACAGAGACAATAATATGTTTCAATACTAGATTGGAATTTCATCTATTAGAACGATCAACAAAGTATTCTACGTCATGTAAATTTTAAAATTCCTGAAATAATTTTATTCATGCTATTCTATATGTTGAAAAAATACGATATCTTGTCTATATTGTTTATGTCAGGTTTCTCATCAATGCGTCGAGGTCTGACGTCACTAGTGACGTCACTTGACGCTCTGGGACGTGACGACTCTCGTAGCGACGCGGCCTCCACAGCCAGCTCGGACAGTGAGCGCTACGTGCTTGTCGGTCTCGCCGCGGAGTCGCCAGACGACGCTGACGTCGCATTTAGGTATACACACCCCCTGTACATTACACACCTCCTCTACTTTATATACTCTAGACACCCCCTGAACCTTTTGATACTTTAATCATATAAAAAAGGCAAAAAAATTCTACTTCCACTTTATTACTGATATATTTTACTTTTAAATATTTAAGATCGAATTGAGAAGTTGAATTGTTGTGTCGGAAGATTTATGGAGTTAACATGTTGTCAGGGAGTTCGAGCAGGGGCGCATGTCGAGTGGGGTGGAGGTGGCGGCTGAGGTGGTGGAGCGCTCCTCCTCGCCCAGCGACCACTCACTCGCCAGCTCCTGCAGGAGACGAGACCTGGTCAGTCATCACCAATAATCATATACTGTTCAAGCGAAACTAGTCAAAAAAAACTAATAAAATTTAAGAAGATGAAATTTAACGTAGATGTAGAACTTAGTCTGAAAGAACACATAAGCTACTAAGTAAGTTTTTTTTTAAATTCTATGCTAACGGAGTCATAAGCGACAGCTTATTTGGTCTATAAAATATTACCAAAAAGCACATAGAGCGAGAGAAAATGAGTTTTTATTCTCTTTCTCTCTCCTCTCTAGCTTTAAACGTTCTTTGCGTCATTATTTAAATTATGTTTATTTTAGAGAATCTTTGAGAAGGATTTCCTCTATAATTACCTAAGTAAAAGGCTAAAAATATGTTCAAACTTAAAAAAAAAATATTTTTTTTGTCTAGATATCTACGTGTACGTGGCGTTTGAACAACATTCACTTGGTGCAGCAGAGTGCAGGAGGCAAGTCCTGTCTCCGTGTTGCTGCTGACGACCTCAGCACTGACGAGTGCGCGGCCATACCATGGGACGAGTTCCAGGTGCATACACTCATATCTTAAACTACACTCTAACAACTCTCACATAAGACTCATTTTACTTTGACTCATTCACGTCGTCCAACATTAATACAAGGTCCACTTACATTATAAATTGTACTCTATTTGTTAAGGAATAAAACTCATTTCACCTCAACTCATAGTCACATTGAATTGAACTGTATTAATATTTCAAAACAATGTAATTTATTCCACAATTTTTTTACAATATATTTCTTTTTTTATATATATTTCCGCATATTATTTCCTCTACTATTTGATACTGACAGTAATAAACACTACATTTTATTCAATTTATTTTTTTAAGTTATTTGAGTTTTTGATTGTCCCAGCATGTTTTAAAATTATTAAAACAAATCGTTTTTAATATTTTTTTAAAGTCATTTTCATCTTAATTTAATCCCTACAATATCATCATAACTTATGTTTTTTTTTTCATTAAAAAAATGTATTTAAATAGTTTTTTTCAACGTCTAGAAATATATATGATGATATTGTAGTATTTTGCATGTATGTTTTCATCTCACATCCCATTGTAATTGTGAAGTTCCACTGTCGTTACATTTGTATAAATACATATTGTCAGTAACTGCCTTAGGGTAGGGCGAGTGGGGCGACCGCCCAGGGCGCCCAGGGCGCCAGGTGTAAGGGGGCGCCCAGGGCGCCGGACATAAGAGAGCGCACCAGGCGCCTATGTCTGATATAAAGGGGCGCTTGTGTCACCCCCTGTAGTTCCCTGTATTTGGAAGATTTCCGAAAATGTTATACGGCCCTTCATATTGCTATCTCTTATGTTTTCTTTGAATAAACAGAGAGAAGAAATATGTATTTATACAAGCGAGTGCAGTGGATTTCTATTATCCATAAATATTTTTGATTCCAAATTGAAATGATAAAATGATATGCATCCGTTTTTTTCTTAACTATGTTGTGTATGTGTGTTTTTGTTTCTCTATGGCAACTCCCGGCCGCTCGGCTCGCGACCATAGATACGACTCAAGGTACATTATGCGGCTGTTGGATCGCAACATGACGTAGTGGTTGACTGCGATAGTTTGTAGCGGTTTGTGTCCTAGCCAAGGGGGTTTGTCTGTCTGGATGACTCACTGAAAATGTTTCCCTCTCAACCTACAACATAGTATATATATATATATATAGAAAAAACCAGAATATATGATATTGTTGGATTTTAAAATCTTTCGGTTTTATTTACAAAAATATTTGGAAATAAATAAACATAACATTAAAACTGAATTATTTAATCTGTTTGTAATAAAAATAAAGTGAACATGAATTTAAAACTCACTTATAGTTGGTTTCCGAGACTAAAATCCATGCATAAAAATATCTATCTCTGTTTTGTCAAAGATACGTTTTATACATAGATTTTGGTATTACCGAGGGTTTCTGAATCAAAAATTTCCGTTTTAAACATGTTATCTCTTTTGTGATAAAGACAAGGATGACGATATGTTTTATACAAAGATTTTAGTCTCAGAATGTCACGGTTAGAAAAGAATTGTATTATTATGAAGTAATTTAATATTTATCAAATTTTATATAACTAAATAAAGATGGAAACATTTTCGTAAACGCTTCTATTATTTATAGCACATAACATACACTGGGTGGCTTCAAAACACACAATGCTAATTTTAGTTAGATGCTATTTAATATATATATGTCACACAAGACTCTGTCCGCACGCAATTAAAAAAAACTAAATAACTAGCCTATATGTTCGTCCAGACTATGTTCTACATCTATGCCAAATTTCAGAGACATCCATTCAGCAGTTTTGGAGATATCTTCAAACATACATCCATCCAAAAATTTGTATATATAATATTAAGTAACATAATAACTATCATATACATAATAAAGCTAATTCTACAATTATATTGAAAATTTTGAGTTGCCTATCATTATTTTTAGGGTTCCACACCTCATACGAAATAAATTCCAGCTTGATACCTTCACGCGTTTTTGAGAAGAATGGTCTTGACAGACGGACGGACGGACAACAAAGTGATAAGGGTTCCGTTTTTTTCCTATGAGGTACGGAACCCTTATAGGATCACTTTGTTGTTCGTCCGTCTGTCTGTCCAGACCCTTTTTCTTAAAAACGCGTGAAATTATTAAGCTGGATTTTTTTTTAAATCTAATTTGACTAAAGCTGTAAATTACCAGCTTATTTTAACTTTACGGGTTTCTCTTGCAGTTTGTAAATAAAAGACGACTATAAACTTTCATATGTTTTATATACTTCTAGTTTATATGTTGGTTTAAAGATTTTTATTTTTATTTTATAATGATTTCTTTTGTAACATAGTATTTATTACAGAAAACATAAAGATATTTTGCTTTACACTTTAATAATAGGACCATTTGTTTTAAAAACTTAATTTTTAATTATACGTTTATTGTTTTTAAATATTCATTTAACTTAAAGACATATCGAGTAGAAATGCATGTAACATATAAATATACTAATATAAATATACAAACATAGTTGTTGTTTTTCAAATTAGCTTCGTGTTTTCATTTATTTTAACATGTTTTAGAACAAATTCTCGATGCGTGCCCGCGCATGGACGGAACCTGTCGTGGATGAGACTGAGTTGACGACGAGAGACACTCCTCACGTTGCTCTCAGATTGATTAGAAATGAACTACCGAAACAAGTTGATGAAAAGGTAAGAAATCAAGAAAAACCTATTTTCAATATTACTAAGATTTTGGGTGTTAATTTTTCGAGAACGTATTATTTACTTTAATTTGACCTAATTCGAAATTACAATGACGTTAGGCTGATAAACATTCTTATCTTAAGACTTCCGAAACATTCCCCTTGCTATATGTCCCCTCTTCTGTGTTTTGGGACGAATAGAAAGGGAAATATAGTCTTTCTGTGTGTCCACTCTTCCGTCGATTAATGGTAGTCAACGTATCTGTGTTTACTGACGTCCATGGGCTTGTTTGTTTCTCACTTTATGATATAAAAAAAAACTCGCAAGATCAGATTTACTTGACAACTTTTTAACAATTATTTCAGGGAGAGTCTGGTCTAGCTTTATACGAGGAACTACTAGAAGCTAGAGTACGGGATTTGAGTATAGCTCTCAACATGAGCACCGCACTAGCGCTGGCTGAGTTCATTGAAGATGAAATTATTGCGCCTCCGATGCCATTAGAAGTGAGTAAATGGAACAAAATTAAGTTCTAGCTGTCGCTCGTGAAATTAAATAAAACTTAATTAGTAGTCTATGTGTTCTTCCAGACTATGTTCTACGTCTATGCTAAATATCAGCGAGATCCATACAGTCGTTCTGGAGATCTTCTAACAAACATCCATCTTAACATTCGCATTTATAATATTACTTCGATGGAACGGAAAATGTAGCATTCTAATTGTGAAAGAAGTTTTGAAATCAGTTCAGTAGTTGTTGAGTTTATTAGTTACTAATATAGAAAAATACAATTTTTCTATGTTTTCTTTGACAGGTACTATTAGAAAATGTAAAACTCCATTTAATCGAAGACCGTCCAACTCGTTCGATATCATCTCCCCCACCACAACCTCTAGACATGGAGCTGAGTTCACTGCGAGTGTCGCGCGACAGCACGGGCGTGGTCTACCTCGGCCCGCCCCTCGCCACGCCCTCCACTGTCACGTCACCGGCCACGCCCACTCCACAACACGACGACTCAGCAGACCGGATAGAACAGCTCAGCAAAGAGAATGAGGAATTGAGGAAGCGCCTTGTCACCTTGGCTAGGATAGCAGAGGATAATAGGGAGTTGAGAGCGTGAGTTTGTTTTATTTGGCTTTGCTAACTGTGATAAAGATTATATTAATTAATTCGTGAGATAGGAAGAAGAAGCAGCTCCCCCTCCCCCCCTACACCAATTGTCAACACTCCGTAAATTTATATTTGAAGACTATAGTTTGTTTTTTTTTTCGTTTTACAGCAAAGTGGAAGAAGCGTCAGTATTGAAGCAGTGTGTGCACGCGGCGCAGCAGGAGGCGGCCACATTACTGGCCGACAAGCAGCAGCTGTTGGACGCCGTGCGAGTCTTGCAGGTGTGTACAACTCTTTTCAAATATCTTGGCAGCCCAAGGTCGTAAGTGCCCTCTCCCCGCATTCCAAACGCCAGCAGCGACTCGAAAGAAGTTCAGAGCTGCTAAGACATTTGAAAACATTTATACTAGGATTTGACGAGAACGATTCAGACCTTAAATAGGTAGACGAATTTAATCAAGGTTTAAGTAATTTGATGAAGATTTTTTATGTTCCCTTAAGTTTTTTATAAATTCCGCACGGACGGAGTCCCATGCGACAGCTAGTATAATGTTAATCTGTTTATATTTTCAGGAGCAACTAAGTGGTTGTCGCAGCAAAAGGTAGCGGTCCCGCAGCGGCGCGCAGCACTGCCTCGACTGCACGGCGTGCTGCGGCGACCGACACTGAGAGCCCTCGCTGCGTACATGTAGCACTGCGCCACCGCTCAGCCAACACTGGCCAACACTACGCTGTAACTATAGGATGTGCCACATTCAGATCTAAATTTTGTAAACTTATCTCTAAAAGATGACACTTTGTATTTTTTTTTGTAAGGAAATTGTAAAATATATGTGTACTAATAATAATTAGTGATGAAATGTTGGTTTTTTTTAATGGAATTTAACGTAAAAGTTGAAGTTTACAAAGCTTAGGTCTTGTGTGTATGTAAAATTGCCTAGATTATTCATGAGATTTAAGTACAGTTATAGTATGTTTCAAATATCATGGGAACAAGAGCGGAGTACAGAGATAATGGGGAGTGCATTTCAAGGTCAACCGCCAAGATATTTGAAAAGAAATATACTTGTAATAAATATATTACTGCCAATAATGAATTGAAACCCAGTGATTTGACTAAAATTTAGACTAGACTTTTGCATAAACTTTTATTGACACGGAAAAAAAATCATTGCTAAATTCGTGGATTTTTTTCTTTACCCATCACTACAACGTTACTTAATAATATTATCAAAGGAACATAATATTTTTTTCCATGTCAATAAATATATTTCTGTTCACCAAAAGTCAGTAACAAGGCAACAAATAAACTTATACTATAATAATAAGGTTTTTTATACTCATATATATACTAGTTGTCACCCGCGACTCCGTCCGAGCGGGATTAAAAAATATATAGTACACGATACTTAGACATACTTAATATGTATATAAAATTAAATAAAAATCAGTCAAGCTGTTTCAGAGGAGTATGGTAACTAACATTGTGACACGAGAATTTTATGTATAAGATAAATAAACTTTATCGTTAAAATATAGGCTACATAAGACGCTATGAATCTGAGAGATTTTTAACCCCTTGGGTATGGATTTATTTGAGAAAATATTTGCAAGTGGAATGGAAATAATTTTTGATTGCTTGAAGTAGTATGTAAAGGCATTTTATGTACGAATGTATTTATTACTAAAATATTTAAAAAGTTTAATTTTTATTTGCGTTTAAAACACGTCAACCGCTCTTAGGGGAAAAAACTGATGTGTCTCAAACGTCAAAAGTACCCAAGGGGTTAACTAAATATTTTTTTTTAATTTTTTGAAAAACATCTCTTAATTTTTTTTTATTTGTTTAATAGTTAAATCGCCAGTACAGATTGTTTATATAAAGAATCATATCATTGGCAGACATTTTGATTTTTTTTTTTTTGGAATATAGTACAATTTTTTACGTTGTCATCAACGGTGCTATCAAATGTATAGAAAAGTAATTTACTAGTAACTTGAAATAGTTATCAATATGATTAGCATTTATTATTTTTATAATCTTAAAATCTTTGTAATATACAAGTCTTGAAAGGGTTACAGTTTAATCATTTTAATCAACTTAATATCGAACTCAGAGTCAGTAGTCATCCTAAGTGAATATTTACTATGAATTACATTAAGACTCTGTGCAGCAGAGTTGAGGCAAAGTTACTTTACTATCAAAAATTTTCGCTTTTTTTTTCAATTTAAAAAAAAAATTACGCGTATGTATAATCTCCCTAAAAATTTTAGTGGGATTTAAAAAAAATGTGTAATTAAGTAATAATATAAATTTAAATAATTGTATTTTTGTAATTGAAATTATATGCCTGTTTTTATACATCGTTAAATTGATTTTTTTATTATTTTTTTTTAATTAATTAGTTTTTTTTTAAATCATACATCTACTTTATTACGTCTTAAATTTTTTTGTCAAGAATTTTTATAGTTACTAAACTGTTTAAATAATATTGTTGGCTTAATATAAAAAAACAAATAATAATAATGAAAGATTAGCAATAATAATAATAAAAATATATAAAATAATTGTATTGTGTTGTACATAAAAAAATAAGGCTTATAACTAAACTCATGTACTCCACGTATTTATCTTCCAAATGCTTTCTATGTAATTAGTATATAATAAATCGAATAATCAAAATGTAAATAATTAAAAAAGGTTTAGCTTTTTTAAAACATATTAAGTATCTACAAAATAACAGTTGTCAAAATCATAGTGCGACAAATTTATCTGGCTCGGTGAAAAATATGTTAAACCTACTGTAGTCAAAAGGATCTTGTAGCATTTTTACAGCTTTTGTGATTTAATTTCACTTGTCGCCACCGGGTCAGATAAATTTGACAATCTATACCAGGGGTGGTCAACTTGATTAGACTCAAATCTGCTGTTTACTGACGTAATCTTATACCTTATACGATTAACAAAGTTAGTTTTTTTTATATTTTATTCAAATTGAAATTTAAAACTGACAATTATTCTTAGTAAATATTTATTTATATAAGTTTGAGCTTTGCATCCGAACCTCATTCCTTAAGTTATGTCTTTACGAATTTTTTGTTTTGCTATAATGGACTAATAGTCGCAATATGATTGACCACCCCTGTTCTACTAGGATTAAAAAAGTCATCGTTAATCGTCGATTGTTGAAAATAAAAACTCGTATATTGTGAACTTCGACCAGCGTGTTTATATTGACACATGTCGTCTCTGTCTTTTCTAAGAGAATGTAAGAGATGGCAATATTCAAGTGTCACATGTCATTACTATAATAAGTGTATTGACATTTTGTCTTAATATATTATTGTTTAATCATGAATTTAGAATGTCGTTACATTTGTAATAAACTATTGCTATCTCTGTTCTTTTCAAAGAGAGTAAAAGAGATGGCAATATTGAGATACAGGTGTCATGGACATTCACTTTAATATGGAATTGTGCCTGTTTAGGAAAACATGTATTTAATTGACTATTATTATTATTTATATAGCATAGATATATAGATTATGTAACCTGGAGCAAAAAGTAAGGCGAATAAAAAACTTTCGTAGGTCTTTGTTGTGGTAGATTTCCTCAGTGTTGTCATTTACAATACGAAATGAGTTAAGATTAAACGTCAAAGTTATGTAATGCTCCATCTAGAGTTTGTATATCTATGTTATATACATTTGCTTCTCGTATATCGTTGTCTTCGTATTTTTACTAATTATAATCAATGTCTTAATAACTTTATTAAATCTTAGAATTTAATTGTTGTAACTAATTTTGTACTATTATGGCTTGTGATATATTTTTGTTATATTTTGTTAAATAAACTTTCATACGATTTATGTTTATTGACATTTTTTTTTGTTTTTTCAACACTTATTTTCACACATGATAAAACAGTTCATTTTTTAATCATTTTATATAGGAATTTTATAAAAGTTGTGTAGTCTTGAAGGAATTGTTAATAAATATGATATTGCCAGATGTGTTTTAATAACCCTATTTACTTTTTATTATGGTAAATAATTATTTGCGTGAAGTCGAGAATTTAAAGTCCTTTTCTTACAAAGGCATATAATCTCAAATATCTAATAAGAAAAACTAAGGCGAAATCAGTATTGCCTGTATGGTTGTTAATTTTCTCCAAAGTGATATCCGTATAATATTTCCTATTTAATAGCAATTATTTTTTCAATTTCTAAAAAGTATGTCGACCAAAAAGTCGTATAAAATATAAAAAATAATAATTTGACGTTTGTCTTTTGTTACTATTAAAAGTGTGGCAATACTGACACGTGAGCATTGAAATAACGTGACTTTCTAAAACTGGTAACATTTTTAGTGATGGCCGTCAGTCGCTTAGAATGGATGTGAGTGACCGTTACTGAATATTAGTGTTGAAAATTATCAAGTTTCATACGACACGGTGGTTACATGTGAATTAAATTAAATTCTTAAACATTTTGTGTGTATTTGTGTATCCTGTTGTGACTAAATTTAGTGTGCTGTTGAATAAATGAATGTTTGTTGTGTCCTTTGAAATAATAGGATAAAAGTGATTATTATATTGGATTACGGATTTCTGTGTATACAATTAACAAACACTGGTAAGTTAGAACTAAGTTAACTTTTAGTTACTATTTCTAGATATGCGATAAAGCTTTTGCCACGAATGCCTCCGTCTTGAATAGTTGCTAACGTGCGTACAAGATAACGGAAGATTAGAGTAGATTGCGTTGATTTTGATAAGATAGCTACATCACGAAAGAATCTAAAGTGCGAACATTTTTCTAAAATAACCTTCAGAATTACCTTCATGTAATGTTTTAAGTGTTATAAAGCGCACTTGAAGACTAAACCAAATTTTTCATGCTCTATTTCTCCCTGAATGTTAAATTTCGAAATATTTTGAAGTGAATGTACAGAATACTGGCATTACTCATTCAGTGGTTCTGATTCACAGCACATGTTAGCCGAATTAATATTTTCTTAATATTAATTTTTAGGCACTTATTTGTCATTTTTGTTGTAGAATTATTTACTTTTAACTTGACTGTATACAATGTTTTTTAATTCTCTAATTGGAAAAAAATAATTTAACTTAATTTAAAATGGGTTTTAATTTCCTTTAATATACATACTAAATGATGTTGATTTTAATTATTTTATTGATCAAATGTTTATATGAATGCCACTTTATATTGTTTATTCACTTGCTACAAATTCTTCGGCTATGCCATAATATTTTTGTAACTTAAAAAAAAACATAGTTTTGTTTTTAGCTATTTCTTCATGTCCATATTAAATAAATGAGTATTGGTTAATTGAAAAAAGATAAGTCACATATCTGTCTGGAAAGATAAAATTGCAATGTTACATAATGAGCAATGTAAATGCATTTTATTAAAACAATTGTATAACCTTCAAATAAGATATTAGCATACAATAGCTTATTTATAAATAAAAACTTGGAAACTAGGGTCACCAGTTATTCGGAAATAATACCAATGTTATTTTGAACATTTTATTACTGGTTCATGAAAGTTAGTGAACTGAAATAGTAAAGATTAAGTCCTATATGGACTGCCCCGATTGGTGACCCTCCAGAAGGACAGTACTTGAAGTCGCCAGTCGATAATCTAAGCTAAATGCTAGTAAATTGGTCTTATTTGAAGTATTTTCTTATTCTTTTGGGAGCACAGCTACTCCTGTCTATGTTCCCCTAATGATAGGGATGAGGCAGTATCAAGTGCACCTGTAAATAACATCCATGTATATTTCAATGTATAAATGTGTTGTGTGTGCCAGGATCTCTTTTAATAACTTTTTCCATAATATAGGAATGTCCATTTATAAAATTGACAATACTTATTAAATTATGCAAACTTTGGTGAGACATTATACTAAACTGATATAAAAACGGCTAAACATTCACATATATTTACTCATCCTGTTGAAGGGCCCCTGATGGGCTCGGAACTAGTCGGTGCCACCACCGGACGAATATACTTGAGTGTTTAGCCGTTTTTATATCTGTTTTGACAATACTTATATTTTTTTAACATATTTTTTATATTATTGTAGACAATGAAGTAATCCTTGTACTTTAAAATGAAGTCATCGCAATACTCGTTATACAAATTCTTGCAAGTTAATATTAAACATTACTATTAAAATTCTGTTGTAATGCAAGTGTGTTGCTAATTATGGTGTGGGTTACATCATTTATATATCATTACCAACTTGTTTATAATAATAAAAATATTATAAGACCAAGGATTCTTGTTAAATACACTTACATATACAATAAATTTCATAAAAACCACAATTCAAATATTTAAGTCCTACTTAGAAATAATATAGAGGCCACCATTTTCAACTAATTGGGTAAACCATTAATTATAAATATATATTTTTCTTTGTTAGTAGTACTAAGAGAGTCTTTTGGTGCAAATATATATAGGAAGTAGTTGTGTTGACATCAAAACCTGTTTTAAGTTTCATTCCGCTGTGATTCAGTTCACTTTTAACATAATTATGTTAGTATATATAATGTATATTTAGTATGTACTATTTACGATAAATTTATTATTGTATTTATGTATGAGTAGACAATAACATGAATAAGAATAAATTAATTTCACAAAAACATGTTAGAATAATATACAGTGAAGTATCTTGCAGACCCCGAACTAGGCTGAGCCTGTATCTCATATGATTTGGCGTGTTTACTCAGTATGAAAAGTATATCGGGCATATCATCTGACGTCATTCGTTTAAATAGGTATTAAGGTAGAAGATTAGTATTAAAAATCAAGGGAATATCCTTGAAAATTATAGTCACCCTAACAATCCAGTTCATGTCCAGTGCAAATGTATATTAAATCAATTGTTCCATGAGCCGGTAATATTGGTCGGCGGTGCAGAGTTAAGGAATTAACGGTATTCGGGGATTGCTTGCACCGGTTAACCGTGGCAAGGTCGCGAGCCCTGTCACTCGTGTTTACACATGCTAACGATGATTCAATAATGTACTCTATTCTGTATACCGTAAGATATGTTATTGTGTAACCAATGTTTGTACCGTGACAAGTTATATATACAAGTGCCTATGTTACTGTAAAAGTGTGGAACTAATACTATTACGTGGCTTTGGCCCACTTTACGGATTATTTGAATAATGTACTGCACGTAAATTATTTCCGACTTTTCGTAAAATGCCTTGATGCTTGCTCTAGTTAACACGCATTTTGATTTTATATCATTGATTATTCGAAATTGTTAGCGGATAGTAGCGGTAATTTACACGAATTAATTAATTTATCAGATGTTTAATCATGAAATGTCTTGAAATTAAAACTTGAAGCTTTTTTAAAAATCGTAAACTGTTTGTACACTTGCTACATTTATCATTCAGAAAACGGCATTTTATGAACGAATGTGCAAGTTCCTGCAATTATTATGAGACTATAATTTTGGTTGCTTATAATGGTTATAAACTAAATTAAATTATGTATTTCCGTTATATAAACACATACATAACCGGATCTCTGCAATTTCGGACAATCTCCTAAGCGCCCGGCGAATTTGTTTTTAATACGCAGTGAAACTAGATTTCACTCAGTAAATTTATATGCGTATGATTTTGATTTTTACTTACAGTTCTCGGTATATTCCGCGCGGACGAAGTCGCGGAAAACATCTAGTCATAAATATATATTTTTATTGAAGCTTTAAAGAATTAAGAGTTTCTACTGTTTTTATATTTTCCGTAAACAGGCCCTCGTTCGGAAATATAAATACATAAAACATAATAGTTACGTCCATCGGATATCCTTACATATCACCAGTTTCGTCCGACACGAGCAATGGAAACGCGCACCGGTTTCGTAACCCTGTATACAGTTCACGGAAATATGTGGAAATTGGAAACGTACCGGATTTTGTTGAGGAATGCGAATCCGATGACCCTCGTATCACGGTATCCGATTTTACGTTCCGTTTTAGCGTTTTTGGTTATTATTTTCAATTAAAGGAAATAACAAATTAATTGTTCATTAGTTATATTGTAAAATTAGTTGTTAATTTGCTAGTTTTTGAAGAAGTCGTGTAATATTGTACGTATTTTTTTTATTTCGTTTGTTTTCAACCTTAGCATGTTAGACTTTTCTTAAAACTTTTGTACGGAATCTCCATCCTATTTCTTACTATCTTCGGCAATATTTTGGATGCATAGATGTTTGTTATCACGTAACTCAAAAACTGCTCAGTGAAAATGAACTAAAATTTGGAAGAGAAGTAATTTCAACTACTATTTTTTTTTAATTCCACTCAAACGGAGTTTAGAACGGACATCTAGTGAATTTATAGCCGTGTACCCTTGTTCTTTAACATGTTAACTTGGTTCTAGCGTCTAAGCGCTAATTGTACTGAAAAAGGAAGTATGATTTAGTGCACATTGTCTTGTCCGTTCCGAGCTAAAACAATTGCTAACGGCCTCGATTTAACGGATGACTAATGGACACTTTTCTTTAATTCAGACTTGTATGCGTGTATTCAAAACTAGCTGTCGCCCGCGACTCTGTCCGCGCGGAATTAAAAATAAAAAAGTAACCTATGTGTTCTTCCAGACTATGTTCTACATCTATATCAAATTTCAGCGAGATCTGTGCAGCCATTCTGGTGATACCTTCAAACAAACATACATCTATCCATTCATCCATATAAGCAGTCAAGTTGCACAATTCGTGTTACAGTTTATGTATTTTAATTATTATGAACGAAGCTATTGAATATTTTAATATTGTTCAAATGATTACAGTTATGTATATAATCATATAATCATTTAATGGTTACCGCAACCGTAATTATGTAATTTAAATTGAAATTAAATAATTGCATTACTACATTACCGTTATGTACTTACATTTTTAATAAATTCCTTAGTAAATATTAGGCAAAAGTTTAGATGGATGGATGGATGTTTGATTGTTTAAAGGTATATCCAGAATGGCAGCATGGATTTCGCTGAAATTTGGCACAGATGTAGAACATAGCCTGGAAGAACACATAAGCTACTTATTAAGTTTTTTTTTTCATTCCGCGCGGGCGAAAGCTATTATTAGAATAAACAATTCAATGCATTTAAAATAAAATATGGATAGGTTAGGTTTGCAAGGTTTGATGTTTAAAATGTGAAGCTCGGTGAGGTAGCGTTGACCGTAATGTTATTGCGGTGTGGAATTCGTTTTATAGAACTTAATGTTGGCTACTTAAGGTCACGGTACACTGTACAAAAACACAGGCAGAAAAACGGCTTTATTTTTAACAAATAAAAATCCAACCAGTAGGACCACATATGCGCGTGTATGGAAAAGTCTATTGTTTGTTGCTGAGTATCACAATATCCGTCTTGCTTTCTTTCCATTTTTATACTATCATCTTGTTCCTGTCCTTATCCTACTCACGTAAGGTGTGTGAACCAGGTTTTCTTCTTCCATATCGATCTATTTTACATCGTCTCTGTCGTCACTCCCTGAATCGTGTCACCTTTCACGCAATCCATTCATCTTTCCAATCATAGTCAAATCAAAAATATATTTTATTG